GAAGATTTTGTAAAATTTTTAAATAAATTTAAAAATATATAAAATTCAGAAAAACCTTTAATTTAAATAAATACACAGATTTTAAAATCTTTTCTTAATTCTATCTATTTTATTCCGTGTTTTTTTTAACTTTTAATTTAATTAAATTTAGTTTTTAATTAATTTAATTTAGTTTAATTTTTAATTTTATATAATTATATTTTTTGTAAAATTTCTTTTGAATAGCTGTGTAGCAATATATTTCCTTATTCCACTCCTTGAAATGAATAATATTATGGAATTTCCCAATATCAAGTGACGCAGTATGCAAAATGCATTTGTCACGTTCTCTAAAAACTGATAAATTAAATTGCAATAAATAATAAATGCAAATGTAAAAGCTATAGATCAAGTTATTTATTATAAAGATTTCGATAATATACACTACAGTATTTTATTTGAAATAAATTCCTCATATTTACCTATTTAGTTTAATATATTTTCACATAATAGTTAAAATATCTTTGAGCCTGACTAATTTAATTTAGCGCCACTTTAATCATTAAACCCAAAGAAAACACTTAAAAATTGAGCACATTTTTATCGCCTATTCCACACAATTTTCCACAAATTGTTTTTATTTATCAATTATTGACTAATTCCCTGGATTAGATTTCACGCCTGAATACTCCATATAAAACACCAAATGAGTCACTCATGCTGGCCAATAAAAAAAGAGCGAACTAATTTGAGTCGCTTTTTTACCACCAGCTCTTTATTTTAATTTGAGGCGTCGCACAGTAGCGCCTCTCGAACAATTAGCGTTGCAAAAATCGAAAAAGTCATGTTCGCAAAAACGATTTTAACCATACTTATTCGACAGGAAATTTAACAAGGATTCAAAATCTGCAATAAAATAAATTTTAGGATTTTTTTTGTAGAAGTTATGAGCATTTAAAGTTGAACTTTGTTTAGTTTTTAGCATCATACAAAAAAAAATGTGTAAATTGGTCGACTTTCAAGTAATATTACAAAAAAACCATAAAACCAATAGTCATGGTTTTAACTTTAAATGATAGATACATTCATAAACTATTAAAGAACCTAAAAAAAACGACACTTTGGTTTGGGCTTCTACAGGTAAATCGCTACCTGCCAGGTGTCCATTTTTTTCACCTTTTTCTGCCTAAAGTAGTCTATATCTTTTGTCGCCAATGCCGGCCACTGACTACACTATGACTACAAGTTCCGTGGATCTTTCCTGGATCAGAATTAACTTTCATCGGCTGCGTCGAGCTGCGTCTGCGGAAATGCAACGCAAAAAACCAAAACAACTCAGGGTAAAATATACCAAAATACCGACACAAGTTCATACATTTCAAGAAATATACTAACTGTAGCGCGTGGCGGTTACACTTCGAATTAAAAAAAAATTTTTTTATCAATTTTTAAATTATTTTTATTTGAGCAAATACATAAAAATAAACATAAAAAATTAAATAAAAATTTTTGTTTAAAAATTGTTTTCATTGAAAAAAAATTATTTTTTCACTTTGATACCCTTTAAAAAGGCGTATTTGTGGGCGTGGTACTTTATGCAGTACATATATATATTTTACAACAATTACCTGTCCAATGCCGTTTAAATTATTCGATTACCTTATTTGGTTCAAAAGATATGATTTTTGCAACGCTAAATGAGAAAAGGCGCTACTGTGCGTCGCCAAAGGCCCCTCCTGGTCACCCCACTGGCATCACCCCTCCCCCACCCCCCATGCGGTCCACTCGATCTATCTGTTGCTGTCGCGCTTAATAAAATTCATTAAAAAGCAGGGGAGCGGAGAAGCGGAGCAGCAACAGCAACAATAAAAATAATAAAGTGGAAGGAATGAAGTGGGTGGGGGATGGCTTCAAGGGGTGGGCACCCATACAAGCACAGTCGGCATGCAGGGCAGCATCAGAGGTGGCCAGCTTGGCTATATAGTTCAGATCAAAAATGTATATTGATGATACTTTGAAGGTGGATAATTTTATATAACTACAGGTGCAGCTTGTTTTATGTTAAATTTTGGTAATAATAATTATTTACATTTTTTTTGAGCCTGTTAAATATTTACTTTTGGTTTCGTAGTAAAATTTCCAATTAGGTTTAGCTTAGAGTTTGCAGGAAATAGTGATATATATATCCTTTATCAATTTAAATAATAAATAAATATAATTAGAATTAATATATTAAAATAATTTAATCGGAAAAAGAGAAAAATACTTTTTAAAACATAAACTTCGATAGTTTAACATTGCGATATATTCAAAGGAAAAAAATTAAAATAAATTAGACAAACTTATAAAATAAATACAACATCAATAATATAAATCTTTTAAGCAATAAATATGACACTTTTATATTTAAAAAATTCATTATATTAAAATATACGATATATTCTATAAAATCTTAAGAGAGGGAGAGAGATTTTTTCGATATTTTTTATACGATTTTTTTCGATAAACAATGATAAAAAGTCTTCTAGCTAGCATCTTTTTAATATTGTTTTTAACATTATTTATGCTATTTATTATTTATTTTTATTTTTCTTAAAGAATTCCTGTTCTTTTTTTTTTTAAACACACTTTTTCACTTTTGGCTGTAAGTTCTCAACATCACTGCCTCTGCCGGCGTCGCAGTCAACTCATTACCGACAAAAACATAATGCTGCCAAAGACGCGAGTCTGGATCTGGACAGGGACTTGGATGGGGACATGGCCAACCGTCAGTCATCATCCACGGGCCAGAAGCCTAAGGCCACCCCTTTTTATTTTCTCTTGTTGTTTTTTTTTATTATTATTTCGGCCGAGGAAGACCCGCAGAAAAACCAAACCAAATATGAGCCGGGTACAAAAAATATAAAAAAAAAAAAGAAAATCGACGGCAACTGAAAGCGAAAACATGGAAAAATATGTTCTTAAGAAATTGATTTTTCCATAATTGCGAATAAATAATACCCTGTTATGACAATTCCAATGAGAATTATAATATCTATTGGTATAATTTATAGAAAATTACTTTTAAAATATTTCAAAATGTTTCTAAATTAAATTTTTACAATTTGTAAATTTAATTACAATTACAGGGTAACTTTTTTCTTTCTATTTGTTTTTTGATAATTATGATTGATATATTTAAAAGTAAATAATTTTTAAAATATTCTAAAATTCCCCTTAATTTAATTTTAATAATTTGTAATTTTAATTACAATTACAGGGTAAGGGAAATTCTTTACCCCTTTCAATAAGAAAAGTTGCCTGCAATATTGGTCACAGCCTGAATGCATTTCTTGCTTTCTCGTCGTCGGCTGTGTATCTGCTGGATACATTTGATGCTGACAGAAGCGGAAAAACAAGAGGCAGAGCCAACAACAACACTGCTGTTCATTGTGCTTAATTAATTTAGTTCAAAGATCAAGCGACCATAATGCTGAACATTGCCTGCATTGCGATTCTTCCTCAGACTGAGACTCGTTTCGTTTTCGATTTTCTTCCCCATTTTCTTCCCGCTCTCCAACAGGCAGATGCTTTCCCATCTTGATCTCTCCCCCCTTCTCCCCCTTTAGCATTTCCCATTGGGTCTAGCTTCTACAGAATCCGTTGTTTGCCCAGTCTAAATATCGGACACTTGCTATATGGACTATAATATATATGGTATGGGGATCAGGAATATACATATATCAACTACTACAGCTGGGTTCGCACTGTTAGCATTCAAGATAAGTTTGGGTTTACAATTGTAATTATTAAAGTAAATTTTGAAATATATTTTATAAATATATGTACTCAAAGTTATAGATCATATAATATATATAAATATTTTTCTTAAATCTTAGAAACATATCCCAAGTATAAGCTTGATATCAAAGCTATTGTTTTAAGTTGAGCTGTGGGGCTTGTCCAAAGTGCAGCTCTCATTTCCATATCTGAATCGCTTGCAAAAACCATATATTGTAATGGGTTTACGCAACTGTTGTATATACTAATATACTATATATATTTATATATAAGGGATATCGCGGATCTTGCGGGTAATACTCTCGATATGCTTAATTAGGCAACAGGCGTTGGGTATAAAAAGCGTCTTTTGTCGCTGCCACGCCCCATAGCCCCCGCCCCCCCTTGCCCACCCTCTCAACAAACACACACCCAAAGGGGGCACACATGTTGTCCATGTTCCATTACACACATGTTCCGCACTGCACTGGCCTGCGTGGTTTGGTTCTGCTCTGGGCTTTTACCTCCCCATCGCTCTGATCTGTGACCAACACTAGTCATCAGGAAATTTAAAAACCTCGGTGGTTAATGTGTGATTCATTGCTTGTAATTTCCATTTTACAGTTTGTGGAATTCAGACTATTTTTATTTGAAAAAGTAATTCAATAATGTGATATATATATATAAATGAAATAAGTGAGTAAATGTTTGATTTACTTGCTTATAATTCCCAACTTAGAGGTCGAAAATTCGAATTTCGATTTTAGAAAATTCATAATAATGAAACTAATTTAATATATGTATATATAAATTTACGTTTGCTTAGAATTCCCAAGTTCTTTTTCATAAAAGAAAATGTAGAGCTTCTTGCTCTTAGTTCAAGTTAATTAGAGAATATAAAATCACAAAAATATATATATTTATTTATTTAAAAATTATATTATTCTCATCGATTTTGGCATAAAGAAAAATTAATATTAATTTTTTTTATGTCAAAAACCAAAGAGAATATTATAAAATTTATATATATTTTTTATTTGAAGAAGAATCCCATATTTTGCAGACTAGTGTGGGAGTGGTGCTCGCTTTCTGTGGGTGACCGGAGGTCGGCATCGCTATAGCCACCGACATCTGCTGTCGACGTCGCCAGAGACTGCGGCAGAGGCAGCAGCGTCGACGCTTACGAGGCGTACCGCCGCCGCCACCCAAGAAAAAATGCTCGGCGGCATCTTGAGTTCAATTTCAGTTGATATTCTGTTAAATTCGCGAACGCGTCGCGCCTGCAGCTCCGATCTGTAGGATCTACTCTATAAGAGAAAATAATAAGAGAATAATAAAGTCCGATTTCGTAATACCGCCATCCCAAATCCCCGCTTATCAGTCAAACTGACTGAACTTTATATTTTTTTTTGTTCTGTGCTCGCGAGTTTTGAAAAATGAAAGGAAAAACGTGATCGATCGATCGAACGGAAGAGTGGATCTATTGTGTGAGAAAAATAGGGTAAAGAGTGGAGAGATAACTGGCACAGAAATGGGAAAATCCAGGGGCCAAACCCCTTTTTTATTTCCCCTATTTACCATATATAGTACACGATTTACATACATGTACATATATTAGTAAATAAGTACACATATCGTGTGTGTTTTCAATTGCAATACTTTGTAAGCATTCATCATCGTTCATTCATTTGTCGCTATCCGCAAATGGATGTCGGTGAATCATCCCATCGTCAGCATATAGGCAAATCCAAAAGATAATTTACGATTGTTGTTTTACATGAGTGTTTTTATATACATATGTTTTCCTTGGGATCTGCATAATTGGAAAGGGTTCTATGGACGGGATCATTGGGGTCTTTAACCAAAGCCCAAAAGTATGCCAGTGATAAGGATGTGAGCTTATCGGTGGAGCGCTAAGCCATGCTCCTAGAGATGATAGACGATTTTATGGACATTAATTAACAAAAATTAACAAGGAATGGGATTAATTTTATATCTTTTTATTTTTTTAAGTACTTGATTTAAAAGGGGAAAATTTTCAGGAAAAGAATTAGTCATGTTTTCTATTTAAATTAATTTAAAAAATTCGTTAACCATCTTATTTTCCATATCAAAATCATCTTTTTTTTTTCAACCGAAAACCGATCATGATTAATGGCCAAGATCCTAGATTATGGAATGACTAATAACAAGAAGCCAAACCGAAAAAGATTTAAAGATCTCCCATTGCGATAGGCATCATGTTCCCCACTTATGACGATCAAGAGATTAATCTGCGGAGCCTCGTGGCTTGGCAGCTCCTCAACTCCATTAGGGCCACTCTCGCCTTCCGTTTTTATATTTTAAATATGTGCACTTATAAAAAAAAGTTTGGTTGAAATGTAATATATTTATGGTATTCAAAAATATCTTTAAAGCCTTGCCTGCAATGTATAAGCAAGGTAGTAAAAGAGAACATATAGAGGTTGAGTCTAATTAATTTGTATTTAAATTAAAATTAGGTATAAATTAGGGAGTAAAATATAGTGCTGAAGTGTATTAAAATTTTAAAATGATAATATATATTTTATTATCAATTATTCAAATCACATATTCGATTTTCCTTCAAAAAGATAAGCTATTTAAATTCTCTCAAAATGTTTATTAAATTACCCAGCTTATTATATTAAAATCTAAAAATACACCATATATATTATTTTTTTGAGTGCACATTCCATATTTTCACATTACACATTCCATTTACCTGGCGGCACCTGTGAGGCGTAGGTGATGTTGCACAGTTCTCGGCTGGCCAACCTGTTTCTCCAGGGGTTTCTCGACTCTCGATGAACGTCTCTCGTTTCTCGGTTATCTTGTCTCACTTCTCACCTCTCTTCCACGTTTTCATGGTCTTTAATTTGGGCTCTGGAACTGGGAGAGGGTTAAGCCCCTTTTTGGCCGACATGGTTTGCTGGATCGGTTCGGTTAGTGACTCATCCCCCATTATCACCACAACATATACAAAAACAATACATTTTCAGCTAGAGGAAATGCAAACAGTTAATGTTTTAACCTTGCGGCGGTGGTTTGGAAAAATGATTTAGGGGAATTTTCTATGGCCGCGGGAAATGGTTTTCCCTAATTGAAAGAAATGTAAAAACGATAAGAATTAACTTCTTTTTTTTTTTTGTATTTAATGAAGCGAATCATAAATTATACTTTTTGGTAGTTAAGAAGAGAGTTAATATCTAAAGTGATTTTTAATTTGGAATATTTAGGGTTTTGAAATATTAGATTTTCTTAATTATAGTTAGAGTTCTATTTCATAATTAATGCTACTTAGTTTTTTTCAAGAAAAAGTGTCATTTCAATTCGAGAACACTGACCACTCCGAGGGTTAAAGCACAAGGAGAGTGCTGCCATGTGGAAGACTCGGCTTGGAAAGACAGTGGAAGTGGGGGGCCCATTGAGAAGTGCAGAGTGCAGTGACTCTTGCTCCAGTGTGAGTGAGATAATAAGTACTAGTCGCTGGGCTCAGGAGGAAGCAAGACAGCCACAGAGGCCACTGAGATAGCGCCTTCACTGGAAGTTAAACATTAAAGTTTTAAACATTTTCAAGAGATTGAATTGCGACAGCCTGAACACCGTAAAAAAATACAATAATAAAGTTTAAACATTTGTTGTTTTAAATCCATTTTTTTATGATTTAAAACAGGAATGATCATTGAATCCTTTTTGTATTTCACGTGCCTTATCTGGATTTTCTTTCTGTGCTCTCTCACTCTCACTCCCTCTCCCTATCTCTCACTCCTTCTGACAATATAGTACCACTATCTCTTCAAGTGCCTCATTTTGTTGTTATTTTCTCACTTAACCATGAGTTGTGGTCCCATAACTCAGCATGCGATAAGCTAAATCTCCGGAAAAGAACCGAGAAGAAGCCAGTGCCAGTGAATCTCCGAAATCAATTCGAAATGCCGGCGCTACCAAACGAAATCGATTGTCAGGGATCGGGGGCTGACATTAATGACAACTTTGGAATGGACTCACACATTTACGAGAACCTGCCGGGTGGTACATCCCCTAAATCTTCTTCACCCAAGAGCCCGAAGAATCACCCTGTACCGATTCTTCGCAAGTATTTTCGACGCGAGGCAATCTACGAGAATTTGTGCGCCGGCTGCGGTTACGGGGTATTTGGAGCTCCAGGTCGTTACTGCCATTTCTGTCAGTGCATCGTTAGCGGGGGGGTGGTGGTGCCTGCAGCCCCTCTTGCAGAGAATTCTTCAGAGAATCCTCAGGATAGCAATATCTATGAAAATATCTGTGAACTGTGCCGCGGCATTTACAGTGACAACGAAAAGTGTCAGTGCCAGAAGGAAAATGAAAAAGAAAACACCAAAGACAATTATAGCACCCCTAGAAACACCACCCTAACACCCACACCCACCCCCACGCCTCTGCCAACGCCTACGTCTACGTCACTTCCAGCGGCAAAGACCAACAGCCGATCGCGAACGCTCTTGAACTACTCAAAGAGCAGCGCCGCGACCTTGACACGTCTCTTTGGCTCCCTGAAGCAGCTCAACCGCTCGGCCTCCCTGCAGCGCAAGCTTTTCCAGCGCGAGGTGAAGGCCGGCGGCGGCGGTGGCTCCCTGGAGATAATCCACAACGTGGACGAGGTTTTTCGCACCCAGGAGACCTTTGACATGCAGCGCATTTGCCAGCTTAAGAGCGAGCTGCAGCTTAAGACCAGCCAGAGCGATCAGCACATCTATGGGCGGGTAAGGGAGCCGCCAGAGCCGGATAAGGCAGAGCGCAAGCGTCCGCGACTTTCACGCATGCGTCTGCTGCAGCAGAGCGAACGGGACAGCGGCAGCGACTCCAACGAAGGCAGCGCTGGCGATGGAGCACCAGCATCCTTGTATTTGAACGAGAGCATTTGTCACTGGATGACGTCATTGCGGCAACAAGTGCATCACTATGACGAAGGAGCGGGGGCGTGGCAGCAGCTGCCAAAGAGCGTGCCAGCCGCCTACGAAAGGGAGCCAACGGCGGAAGAACCTGTGACGCTGCGCAAGGAGGACAAACTAAGTTTGATCAGTGACTTTAAGAGAAAGCTGCAGCTGAAGAGGGAGCCGCCCCAAGATCGTCGTTGCGGCATAACGGCCGAGTTTGTGAATGAGTTTCTCAGCCAGAAGAGCCACCCCCAGCCTGAAGAGAGCCAGCCCCCAATGACCGTGAGCAGAGCAGAAGAGATGACGGCACTGCCCAAAATCCCACTCTTGCCGCTCATGCAGAGCCTCGCTCTCTCGATCAGCCTGCACGTGTGTGTGCGTGGCCCGCTCAGTGCCTATGACAAATCGCTCAGCCAGTGGCTTTGGGAGCAACAACAACGCCTGCTGATCAACGGTTATCGCGGGAGAGCGCGTGACCCAAGGCACGAGGGGCGGGGGCGACGTCTCTTTGCTCGTGCTCTGGCCCCAAGAGCCCCCAGTTCTGTTAGCAGCAGAGCGTCTCTCATTTTAACAGGAATGTCTGTTGGCCGGAGCTGCATATCCCCCCACTTCGGCAGAGGGGGAGCAGACCAGAAGCCTTCCTCTGACAAACGGTATTAACTAAAAATTAATTCAAATGCTGACTTACAGTCACTGTTAACCGGAATTCGAGCGCCAAAGGGGAATATACATTTCATTTGTTGATTAATGGGGCCTCTATTTGTCATTATTATCAGCATTCTTCGCAGTACATTTACAGCAGAAGAAAGAAATGTAGTTTCTTCCACCGATCCCGCGAATTCCGATTAGCAGCAGTTCTGTTAGTATGGGGAGCTAGCGAGAGAGCGCCTCTCAGCGTAACAGAAATTTCTGTAAGCCGGAGAGGCACCAGTGCTGCCGCCGCAATCTGTGAAGTACAAATTGCTGGATTTGGATAGAAAAGTATCTTTGTATATTTGCCATAGAGAAACATTAAAGAATATAGGTACTTTCAATATTTTTTTTTCTACAAATAAATTAAAGTTTATAGTAACGTCCATATTTAGTCAATATATAAAATATATATAAATAGGCAAACATTTTAACAAAAAATAAAAAAATATTTTCGCTGTAATAAACTTACAAAAACTTAGTGGAAATGTAAAAAATTACAGATTTGTGGTTAATAGAATTAAAAAAATATTTAAGTTTACTTAATAGTAGCCAGATCTATCAAACGAAATTAAAAAAGCGCCAGCACTGGTGGCTCTCTCTTGCTGTGCCCCCTGAGAGGGCGCCGTATAAAAGATGTGAGTAGCTGAGAAACAGTTTCAAAACATTTTTTTCAGCGTACGTGACGACGTGTATGCTGCTGCGCGTGCGAGCGGGAGAGCGCGAGAGGGTGCCAGTGTTAGTGCGAGTGATAGCGCAATAAACAATAGTAATAGCAGCAGCAGCAACAACAACAACAACAGCGGCCACTGCGCAGGCGGCAGAGCTTTGATGGCAGCGCCAAAAACAACAGGCGAGGCAGAGCGCCCCAATAATAATAATAACAACAACAGCAATAGCAGCAGCAATAACAATGATGACAATGACAGCAGCACAAACAACAATAACAACAATAACGGCAACATGAGCAATTGCAATGTCAGCGATCAGCAGCAACAACAACAACAAAAGCCACAGGAGCAGCAGCAACAAATCACACAGGTCAACATTCATTAAGAAAATGAAAAGCAACAACAAAGAGTAAATTAAAAATAAAGCAAACACAGGGAGAAAAAATATAGACATAGTGATATTATAAACATTACAAAATATAAAATATTATTTTATAATTATGCCAAGTGTTAATGTGATAAAATGTGAATATTTAAAATTGATAACTTTCAAGTGTATTTCCCTGTTTTTGCTCTGTGTACTACTTGATGCGTTTCACTGCAGTTTGAAATTGACTAACGGTTCGCGTGCGACAGGGATGCCAACATTCGATTGGCTATTGGAAAAAAAACAACAACAAAAAACAAACAAACAAACTTATCTAATTAAAAACAACCATTAAATTAATGAAAAAAAAAAAAAAAAAAAAAAAAGAAATGTGGAGGAAACACAAGCAAATTTGCTATGCAAACAAAAGATAACTATAAAATAATCAGCGTTTAATTAACGTTCTTTTTTTTCTGTGGTGGTTTTGGATGATTGCAAAAAAGTGTTACCATTTTTTGTTCTTTATTTTTTTGTAACCAGGTTAATTTTTTTGCATTTATGAGAGCTTGTTAATTATAAAAAACAAAGTAAGGAGGGTTAAAACCCCCACAAATGTCTATTAAGAAACCAAATTAGGAAATTAACTCATTGAAAATTAAGTATATAAAATTTTAAAACTAATAACAAAGTGATTACTGAAGTATTTTTTTTAAATTTTTAAATTAAAAATTTATAAAAATTGAAAAAACTATAATATCTAATTGGACATGATAATTGTTAAATAAAATAAATATTTTAAATCCCTTAACTAACGCCGCGTTCCTTAAGTCAATTTCAAAAGGATAACGCCCAATATTTTCTACCGAAATATATGTCAACCTGAAGACGATCTTTGTTTTCCCACCTTCATTTCTGTAGAATTGCGTTATCAAGGTGCGACGACCGGCGCCCAAGGTTCCGGTTCGAAGTCCGCAAACGGCTTTAAGTAATCCCCGTCAGGCGGATAGTGAGCCGGATAAGGAGAAGCATAGTCCTACGATGGATATGGAGGTGGAGGAGGAGGACGAGGAAGAAGAATCCATTTACCAGCCCATTTGGCAGTTCAAGACTTTGGAGCATCCGGAAATAGTTGAGGCCCAGGCTACAAACGCAGAAGATGACGACGATGAGGATGATGAGGAGCAGGATGATGATGATGATGATGATGATGAGGATGAGGAGGAGGTCCTGGAGGACTACGACGAGTCCCTGCCCTCCGATGCCGATGCAGACGTTATGGCCCTCCAAGCGGCCGCTGTCTTTGCCGCTGGCGTTCGCCACAAGCTTTCCACTTCCACGCTGACAAAGCGCTCCAAGCTAATGCTGCCCACGCCCCTGCCATCGCCCACCGCCTCCATGGACCAGGGTGCCTGGGAGACGGACATGGAGTTCATGTTCCATCGGGAAAGCAAAAACGCCGAGGAGGCCGAGGCGGCAGCAGAAGCGGCCGATAGCCTGAGTCTGGGCAGCACCATCACAAACAGTACAGCCACTATGGGCTCCATCAGTAGCACGGGGAGCAGCGCCAGGCATCCAGTTGCGCCAAGGGATCAGGTGCCCGTGGAGCAGGCACCCCTGATTCATCCCATCCTGCGGAACATATGCATCTTCTACAGCCCCAAGGAGCCCAAGAAGTACAGCGCCATATTCTACGAGTACCAGCGATCGCAGATCCACCTCCGCTTCATGACCCGCATCCGACGTCCTGCTCCACCGCCACCAGTTCCATCCTCCACCCAGCATCCTCAACAGAAGCCACCGCCAGCAGCAACAGTCCAACAGCAGCAGCAGAACGACGACAGCGGCTGCAGCTGCGAGGCAGAGGATCAGGTGGAGGCGGCCATTCCCAAGCCCCTCAAGGAGGAGTGGGCGCGGGCGGTTCTGGCCGCTGGTGTTGTGCATGGCAAAAGGGGCGTGGCCTCGCGAGCGGGTCGCAAGCTAAGAGTGCGCTCCAATGCCCGGCTTCTGCTCACCGATTCGGTGCTGGCATGGCGGGAGCAGCTGCAGGATGTCCACTGCTGCGAGGACGAAGAGGATATGGTAAGGAATCGATAATATAGATATAGGTAATGGTGGGAAATATAGTAAACAATATAAATAAATTTAGGGGTTAAAATATTTAAGGAATTTTAACTTTGTGTGGCTTTTTTTTAACTTAAAAACAAACTGTTGTTATAAAAATAATAATTCTATATAATATATCTCTCTATAGTTAGTTTTAAATTAATTTTATATTCACATTGCATCAAGCAAGCGACCGTGACTTGACTGCTAATTGATCGTGATCAAAACTTTTGCTGGGAATTAAATTAAATTTAAAATAAATAACTAACTAATTAGATAGCAAAGTATATTAAGGAATTATTAAAAAACATTTAATTTGTATTTTATTAAATTTAAATTAAAATGAAATGTTTTAATTTAAATTAAATTTAAAGAAAAATTTGTTTAGAAATATTTAAAAACATTTAATTTAAATGTAATTGAAACAAATGTTTAAGAATTATTTAAAAACATTTATTTTGCATTTAATTTAAATTTAAATTTATTTCTTAAAAATTTGTATCTTTAAATTTAAATAAAAATAAATACAAATTAAATGTTGTTAAATATATCTTTAATATACTTAGTTGTCTAATTAGTTACATAATTATTTATTTTTAAGTTAATTAGTTATTTTTGTGTAATTAGTTATTTTTTTCTTAGTGCACTCTTGTCACCCGCAATTCATGATGGTTACATTCCCTCGGCTTCTTTATTTGGCCATTGTTTCCACACATGTCACCTGTCACATCAATTAAATCCCGCAAATGTATCTGTATCTGTATCTCGGTGCCTTTGCCCCTACATTCAACGGAACGGTTTCATTGCGATTGTTTTCAGCCGATCTATGCGAACCTCTTTGGTGTTGGAACTGAACAAGTTACCCAACCTTCCGTTTTGTTTGGGGTAACCAAAGTTTTTGGGAAATGCTTAAAGCACTGGGAATGTCTACGTTTTTTAAAGGTTTATAAAAAATATATAGGAATATTTAGGTTTATGATATCAGCATTTGTAGCTCAAATATTAAATTCAATCAATAAGAGTATCTTTGATTAAAAAGGAAGCTTTAAAAAACAGCAAGTCAACGGTATAGCAGTTTGAATAATTTAAAAAAAAAAATCATCACATACATATATATAGTTATAACCCTGTATAAAAATTTACATATGTACCTACCTACATTGCTGCTGCTTTCTGCATAATGTATCTTTATTTATTTTTGCCTCTCACGTTTGTTGCTTTCTGTTTTGCTGCATTTGCCGCCGCTGCTGATGCATTCAGAAATTCCATAGAAATTTTGCTGGGAAAAAAGGGGATTTTCCCCTTATTTTGATACCCCTTTTTTTCAAAATGTTGTATCAGATTTCGGGTAACAACAATTATTTATTTTGTTTGATTTATTTTGCTCGTTTATATTTTTTGTGAGCTTTGCATATATTCTGTGCACATGTGTGTGGTGTCTATAGTTAAATTTTTGTGTGTTTTTTATAATAAACTTTTTTGGCAAACCGGTTCTCCGCTTGAGAGGAATGTGCTTTTGGTTTTTAATAACCTTTTGAGGGGGTATATTAATACCTTTGTATTCTCCATGACGTTCGTTTTTGGTTTAAATAACTTATTAATTTATAGTAATTAATATGTCTGAAAATGGCATATTGTTGTGATTCATTATTATTATTTAAAGCAGTTTTTAAGGGCATTGATATGCCGGCTTTAGCATTTATCAGCATTTAATTGGTTAATCATTAGTCAAATATTTTGTGTAAATCTTGAAATGATTTTCCTTGTATTTTGCCTCATATATATATAAAATTTTTTTTTTTTTCATTTTCTCCTTCCTTTGCCTTCTCAGAACCGAACCTTTGGCTGAGCCACAAAATTTTATCGCTTGGATTGTAAAAAATCATAACGGAACTTGAGTGTTCCATAAATAAGAGGCCAGGCTTTGTGATGTGTGGTTAGCGGATATATCATCATTTATATATATAATATACATATATAGCTAGTGATGAGGGGCACCTAAAATTCAGTTATAAATAAGACTGATTAAGACCTTAAATAATTATATTTATTCTTACCATTGTGTTGCTTATTTTTAATTCGTTTAATACGCTTTATGAGATGCAAGAAATTCGCTTCTAGTTGAAATGTGAAAAGCAGCCTGTCAAGCGGTTTCGAGATAAACTGATCACGAATTAACTTTTGCAGATATGTGAGGGCCATTGATCCAAGTTTTTTATACTCAATTTTTTTGTACGGAAAGAGGCTGGGAAAAAAAAACTCAAAAAAACCCCTCGCTCTCAGCTAAAAAAGCCACAAGACCAAAACAAAAAGGTCGAACTGAGCCGCCTTTGTTTGGCTTTCGGTTTATTTGTGTATTTTCTTTGGTTCGCTACGGTTTTTTCGGTGTGGCTCTTTTGGTGTTTTCAATGAATCACGATATAGCAACAATATATGTAGATACAGATACAGATACAGTATCTGTAGCTGTAGCTGTGGCTTTGCAAAGGCAAAGCGAACACATGTACTACCGGCCCCGAGGTCGTATCAATTAAATTGGCGGCTGGCCTGCCTGCCTTCTGCCGTTATTATTTCAACACATAAATTCCAGTTTGGCAGAAATTATTGTTGCTGCTGCTCTTGTAAAATCAATGTTAGCGCAAAATATTTAAAAATACAAAACGAAACCGACTTGGCCAAAAAACCAATTGACTCTAAATCTGTTAACAAGTCCGGGGCTGCTTGACTTTTAATTGCTTGTATTTATCGATTGGGTTATAAGTTATCGAAAGTGATATGATCCCGATGATTTCGATTGTTTGCGAAGGTAATTATTAGGTTTAAAGTTTTCCATTGTTTATGAGAGAGAGAGAGAGAGAGGAAAGGCTCTCATTTATATATTTTTTATTTTTCTATTTTCCGATAGCAATCGCAGCAGATGTGACGGAATTCGAGCCGATTCACTATACTCTTTCTGAAATAGGGTTTCCTACTTTATTTGTTAAATATTTTAGACTAAAAATTATATTATTTTATATTATTATGTTATTTTAAATTATATTTTTGCTCATTATTTTATTTTAATATTAATAGCCGAATATTTGTCAAATATTTTTCTTTAATCAATTAAAATATTATAATTTAAACATTTAAAGATAACATTATTTTTGTATTTTTTTTCTTATAAAAAAGGAGAAATAACTCCAACTGGGAATTAAATTTAATATTATAATTTATAATAAATATATATTATACATATTTAAGTATTTATAAATGTTTAAGAAATTATTTAAAAACTTAAATTACATATTAACATTTTTTTTTTTTTAATTTTTACTAGTACCTAGAGCATTTTACTATAAATAAATTTTAAATTCTGCTTAAATTCACTCTAATTTTCACACATTCGAGATTCTGAGAATAATATCATAAAGCTTTCAACTGGCTTAGGGATTTTTTTTTTAGAATTTTTCTGTTGGAGTTACCTTTGACAGGAAAGCAGAAATCCAGATGTTGGAACAGACAATATTCAGGGGAACTTCAGGTGCGAAAACTAAGCTGTTTTTATTTATTTTTTTTTTTTTATTTGAGGGGAAAACTGACTAGAACTTTTGCTGTGTTTTATGGATACAGGTTAGATTCGCTAAAGAAAACAATTCTGTAGTAAATTATTTAAAATATTATAATCAAATTATTAACAGCATTAACTAGTATATATTTTCGTAGCACTTTTATTTTATTTTCTTTTTTAATGCATTAATTTTGTTGAATACAATTTCCCCTATAGACAGTAACTACTGCATGTATAGCGTAAGAACGGTTTTAAATGTCACCCATTTAACCGGCTGATTTTGTTTATGCCACAGTAAATAAGGTGGAGTGGGTGGTGGCAGCTGCCGCGGGGTGGACAGCGGGCGTTGGTGGGTGGATCCAGTGGCGATAAATGCATCCGCTGCAACACCTTGGAGCGGCACTGTTCGATTAGCCGTTATCTTGGACGCTTGCCGCCTGCATTACTTCTCGCGGCGGAGCCGTAGCTCTGCACGATTTCTTACAAATCGCAATCAATTCCTTATCAATATCGCTCCATTTTGTGTTGTTGCCTTTTTGTTTGGTTTCTGTTTTCGTGCTTCTTTTTTTGTGTATTGTTTTTAGTGTGTGTTTTTATTTTGTGTTCCGTTCCGGACGGAGAGCAGAGAAAGATATAGCTGGCATATACACATATATAGCGTGTGCGAGTGAGCGAGTGAAAAAATCGAAGGAGATAAGAAATGACGGGCAGATTGAATCCAAAGCGAAGGCTAACAACGGTGAGCGATGGGCGGAACCGAAGAGAGTGAGAGAATAAAGAAAGAAAGAAAGAAAGAATAATACTGAAAAGTGAAGAAGGAAGGAAAGGAAAGAGAAGGAACCCCTCTAGAAATAAAAGTTACTGTGCTGTGCCGCCGAGATCTACAAGACATTATCGAATATGAAATACCGTGTTTTTTCTTGAATGATCGGGTTTGGTGTAGTTTCCTCAAGAGCAGTGACAGTAAGCAAAAGTTTTGTGGCTTAAATAGCCATTTTTTAGTTAAAGATTCATTTTTAAATAATTTAAAAATATTTAAAAAATATAGCAACGAATTTTATCCATATTTTCATCCAACTACATAATTTCTTTCAATTTATTTAATAAATTAATTAAACGAGTTTTGTGGTTTTCTTAAGACTTAAATAGCTATTTTTTTAGTTAAAGATTTTTTTTAATATTTAAAAAATATTTAAAAAATATAGCAACGAATTTTACGTCCAAACACTTTCTTTAAATGTATTTAATTTATTTTATTAATTAATTAAGCAAGTTTTTTGTCATTCTTAGGACTTAAATATCTATTTTAAAGTCAAAGCTTCTTTTAAAAATATTTTAAAAATATTACCACTAATTTTACCTATGTTTTAATTATTTTAATTTATTTAAAAATTAAACTAATTAAAGTAATTTATTTCAGCCTGAGTTCAAAGCTACTAATATTAGCTTAAAAAATATATTTAAAATAGTTTTACAATTTTTTCTTTAAACCATTATTCCCCTTTGTGTGCTGTTGCCCCCCGTGAAGGGTATTGTGTGGCGAAAAATCGTAGAAAAAAATAGAACTAGACATCGACAATGGCACGAAAAGTTGCAATTAATTTGCAGACGTTACTCGGATTGTCGGATTGTGTATATCTCAATTGTTTACTCCCATGCCATGTAGCTCTTTCCCCCAACTCCCACAGATATTTCCCGAACTGAATATATTTATGCATTGCGTGTCTTTTGCAGATTGTGCCAGTGACTGACATTCTGCAGGCGCAGCAGATCCAGGAGGACAATGAGCTACAGCAGACGCAGCAGTCAACGATCCTGCAGCGCTTCAAGAGCGTATCCATTGGTAACCTGCTGGACCTGCCCGGTGAGGAGGATAAGAAGTCTATCAAGAATCGCATGCGGATGAAGTGTAAGTTTTAGGTTTATTATTTATTAATTTTTTTTAAAATTATTTACAATGTCTAAGGGTTAGTTTGTGACTTTTTTTTTTTGGGTAAAGCCTGCTCCTAGAGTCTTTATTTGATTATTATATTCACTCCACTGCCTGGATAAACAACTAAAAGAAATATATATCTTTATTTAAAAGTAAAGGTAACCAATATGTCAGCTTTTTAGGTAAACATATCAATGGTTTCTAATAATTCATTGAAACAGCTGTGAGGAAAGTCAGAGTATTATGAGCTAATAATACACATAAATATTTAGCACATGTAACCCTAGTCATCTTCCGGTTCAAATATTTATTTATTTTGGCCCAATATAACCAAATCCAGATCTTAGCCAGACTTTAATGTCCGCTTAGAGGCCTTTAGTCATCGCCTTAAAATGGAACCAAAGATGACTTTCCTTCCGAGTAAATATCCAAGAAACCGGTTAAAGGAGGGCGCCCGACAGTCTGCACAAGATAGCGATGATCTGGGGAGCCTCCATAACCAAGTAGAAACCAAGAAAACACTTGAAAAAAAAATAGGCTTTAAATTTGATAGTAAAATAGCAACTAAAAGGAGTCTAAAAGTCACTGAAGTAAGCTGGAATATTTAGGATTTAAAAACCACATTAAATCCTAATTATAGCTTACTTCTCTGATTTTTCTTCGGTTTAAATTCTATTTAAATTCTATTTAAATTCTACTTAAATTCAATTGAAATCCTATTTAAATTCTATTTTAATTCTGCTTGAATTCTATTTTAATTCCACTTAAATTTTACTTAAATTCAGCTAAAATTCTTTTTAAATTCACCTAAAATTCTTCTATTTACATTTTATTTATGCTCATATTTTCTTCAAGTGCACACAACCATACATATTCGAGGTGTTGGCCTTTTAAGGTCGTTGCAGCCCACACAGAGACCGAGTTGATCGAATGACTGACTGACTGAATGACTTATTGAGCTGCCACATGAATGGGAATGCGAAATCGAATGCTAGAAGTATCTCTCTGGGCCTCTCTCTATATGTAGTATCGCTGGGATTTTTTCGTTAATGAAGCTTCCCCAAGCTGGTTTCACTTTTAGCTGGGAGTTTTCTAGCCTCTCATTCTCTATATATATTTATTTGAGTCGGTAGCTTATTTTGGATAATGCAAATGAGACGCTGGAAAAATGAATCACACGATCTGCGTAAGGCGAGGAATTTGCTGATTGCCGACTTGACTGAGTGGCTTATTGACTGACTGACTGACTGACTGACTAACATTCCCGGGGACAGATTTGTTTTCCTGCACAGAAAAATTCATAAGCACTTGGCAGGCAGCCGGGAGTGGCACGAATCGATCTCACAGGGAATGTTGAAAAATTCCATTAGCATGTCCCGCTTTGACAGGCGTTTGTCGGAATGTAGGAGATATAAACTGTACTAAAAACAATATATAACACATAAATAAAAAATATACAATTAAATTAAAATATATGAAAAATATAAAAATATATAAAAAAATATAAAAATATATATATAAAAATATCTCAACATAAATAAAAATATATCAAATAAAAAGTATATATTAAAAATATATAAAAAATATATAAAAATATAAAAAATATATGAAAAGATATAAAAAATATTTAAGAAATATATTAAAAATATATATGAAATATATAAAAAATATATATAAATAAAAAAAATATATAAAAAGATATAAAAAATATATAAAAAATATATAAAAATATATATAAAAAAATTATACATAAAATATATAAAATATATAAAAAATACAAAGAAAAAATATATATAAAAAACATATAAAATATATATCAAAAATATATAAAATAATTATTTAAATGTATATAAATAAACTAAGCTAACAAATGCTCAATTGCTTAATAATTTCTATCAATTTCTCTTTTCATGTCTCCCAAAATCGCTCTGGAAATCGTCAAACCCCTGCAGTCGCCGTCAACAGCAATGTGTTTCGCATGTAAGTAGCTCCCCCTTTAACCCAATATTTTTGCATATAATTTATTAATCCTTAAATTATTCTTAATTTAGCAACCGCTCGCCCAAGAGCGAGAAAAAGTCCAGGGGTCGCCGCGGTCAGGTGAACAGCCTGTATTTGGATGAACAGCAAAAGTATCCGCTCTTTGCCGCCCCCCTCAATGCCCTGGAGCTGAACATGACCGATCATCCGAATGTGCCACGCTTCGTGGTGGATGTGTGTGCCTATATCGAGAAGCCGGAGTGCATCGAACAGGATGGTATCTATCGGGCCTCTGGCAACAAGGTGCTGGTGGATGAACTGCGCCGCAAGCTGACCCACCTGTACGATCCCCAATGGCTGCAAACGGACGACATACATACGCTGACCAGTTTGCATAAGCAGTTCTTCCGGGAGCTAACCTCTCCGCTGATCACCCAGGAGGCATACGAGCGTCTGGGCAAAAGCCTGGCCGACGATGCGGCCATTGAGCGGATGAGCCTGGCCTTTGACGATATGCCAGAGCCGAATCGCTCCACATTGCGCTTCCTAATCAAGCACCTGACCAGGTGAGATCTCTAATTGTGTGTGTCCTATAATAGGGTCTTTATTAAAATGTGTGTGCGTGTGTTTTCCAGAGTGGCTGCCGCCAGTGCCTCGAACCGCATGCCGTCCACCAATCTGGCCATTGTCTGGGGCCCCTGTCTGCTGAGTGCCAATCAGATTCATTTGGACATTGGACGCATGAATATGCTGGCCAAGGTGCTGATTGAGAACTATGACCGCATTTTCCATGCCGACAATGAGCGTCTTGTGTGCTAATACAAGCCCCGGTTGCTCTGTCTTAATCTTCTCCTGCTGCCACGCCCCCTCAACATCACCCCACCCTCAACAAGCATCACTTTAAGGACAAACCCAGCATCGATTTAAGTGCCTCAAGACATCACCATCCTCTTTCACTTAATTTTAGTTCTATTTTCTTTTTTTTTTTTTTTTTTTTTTTTTGTATCTCATATGTTTCCTTTTGTTAATTTTAATGTTTTTACTAGTTTATTTATTCATTTGGAAGCGTTCCATCGTCATCCAGCAAATACTTACCAAAAAGACAGTAGACTAAGTTAATACTAAAAAAAAAAAAAGCTAAAGAGAAAACTCGGTTATAAGGACTGCGTGGCGGTACAGTGAGCACCCCATAACATGACGGAATATTCAGCAAAATAATTTTAATTATTATTATTATTATTATTATTTTTTTTTTTTTGTACAACATCGTATATGAGATGTGATATTCCCTGTTGCAAGACATGAATAAAATATGTGTATTTATATCTATAAATTAACAATATGAAATATATATACAAATAAAGTGCAGTAAAGAACATGTGTATATGGTTGTTGTTTTTTAGAGTGAACTTTAAAGTTGATTTTGATTTGAAAAGTAAAAAGAGAGAAACATTTTTGGGAATATATATAAAATTATTCAAAGCTTAACAAAAATTAAAATAGTTAATTTTATGAAATTAAAAAATATAACTAATTAAAATAATAATTATATTTTGATTCTATAGAAACTAAAGTGAAGAAAATTTTAATTTTAAAAGTAAGTAAGGGAAAACCCTATAGAAAACCCTATGCAAAGCTTAAAAATATTTAAAAATTTGTTTTAATTAAATTTAAAAATATAACAAACTGAAATAATAATTATATTTGAATTCTCTAAAAATTCAAATATATTCCCATGATTATTACAATCACATATATCAGCATCACTGTTCGTGTTGGCCAAGTTTAAAAAGCTTAGCAAAATAAAAACTCTAATCAAATGACCAATTTATTCCATTCAACCATTTACAATAATTATTATTTTAATATATAGCATATAAATCGACCATATATAATATATTCATGTGATTAATGACTCTCATTAGGCCTTTCCTCCATTTGTTTTTGCCAAAAACAAGCACTGTAACATCAGATAGGCATAATCGCACTTTTCCAGATTTGTGTTGTCATCGATTTGCTTTTTACACTCGACCAAAATTCGCTGCTCTTGTGGACTGGCTCGAGTACCTACCAATTGCAAATCGACTTTGTTATCACTGCCAATATAATCACTGATCACACAGAGGCTATAGCATTTGATATTTGAGGAAATATCGGCCACGGGGGTATTGGGAGCCACAGCCTCCACCTGGGAGCTTGTGACATTGTGCCTCCTCAGACAGCTCTCTGCGGAATTGGTTGAAGGTAACTGTGTTTTGAGGGTTAATTGGGGGGTTTAATTGGTCTTAAGTGGTATGAAATTTCTCAGAAAATAAACCCTTACCTGGGCCACTAGGCAGAGGGTTAGCACAGCGAATGCAACCTTCATGGCGAACAACTATTTTCAAACTGAAAGCGATCCGAAGCTGTTTTCTGTTTATAGTTAAACATTACATTAAAATTCAGCCCAAAAGTAGTCAGTGTTTTTATTTTTAAATCTCCATTATTTATTTATTTATTTTTTTAAATTATTTTTGCAAAAAACAGGCAACCAAAACCTCATAATCTTGTGGCATCCATAATTCGGCAGGAAGTAGGCTTACTTCGAAATAATATACCAAGTCGCAGAGATCTGCAATTTGCACATAATTGAAATGCAAGCCGAATGCAATGGCTCTGTGTGTGTGTGTAAGGCATAATGAAGCTGTATCCTGCCCACAGGATATGCTGGGAAAATTTTCAATTTAGCCAGCAAATCATACGTAAAGTTTTCTCCGAAGCCGACCGAAATACATTTTCGGATGTCAATGCAATCAGTGAGCCATTTGACTTGGCCTTTCATCAACTCTCGACTCGACTTGGCTCCGGTCGAGTGCAAAGGATACATACAGGACATGAGGCTGCGGCTGCCGCAGAAACTTTTTGCTGGCCAATCACCAAGAAAGCGTTACTTGTAAATCAGCCAGCAACACACACACATACACATTTTTGAGATTAGGGAAAAAGTGGGCGTTGCGCAAAATGCTGAAGTCAACCGAAAATTTGTGGGCAAAATATGTTGATGACAAGCAAATATCCTGCTAATGCAATTACGTTGGCCCAGCCAGGATAGCGATTTAATTGACAATGCAAATTGAATCAACATTTGTAACTGTCTAATCGAATTAGCCGCCCAGAAAGTGTCCTTTCTCGGGCTCATAATTCAATTTCTGATTTACCAAAATGGGGCTTTTGGTTCCTGATTCTGACTCCTGACTCTCTGATTCTGACTCTTTGTCGTTTTGAGGCTGCCGGCTTTTTTGGTCCAGCTCAGCAAATAAACTTTGCGTTTTCATTGCGGCAAAATCGTCGACTGCAGTTGGCCCTTTGACCGCACATACACATACCAGCGGGGGTGCTGGCCAGGATTTTGAGTGGACCTAACCACTGGAACGTGCCTTAACTTATAAAATGTTGCCAGGACTCTTAGGCTGCCAATTGCAGGCAGACTTGCAGCCTCATTTTTTTAAAAACGAAGCTGGAATGCTCTTAAGAAAGGCAGTAAAGGCTGTAAGATGCATAACGACAGGCTGAAGGATCTCTTGAAAAAAGAGAGAATGAGAGAGGGTGAGAGAGCGCTCTCTCCGTTATGCATCTTGCAGTTTAAAGTATTTTTAAAGAGATTTAGATTTTTTTAGATTTTTGAAAGAGTTTTTATGATTTTTAAAAATTATTTGACTGAAAAAATAAACTATTTTTGAAGTCAATAATAAACGTTCTACATTTTAAAGATTTTTTAAAAATATTTTAAGAGCCAAGAAGCTCCTCTATATTTAGGGTATTGCAATTGCTGCCACTGCACTTCGTTAGGGACATCTAATCTAGCTTTGGTTTGGCCTTTTCGCCTTGGCAACAGCAGCAGCAGCAGTAGCAGCAGCAGCAACAGCCCCTTGCCAAGGACCCACCTGTTGGCGAATTAGGACGAAACACTCGAGAGCCTTCGTCAGGCAATCCCGACATTAAGACGCTGGCAATGTGTAATAACTGGCAGCTTGAAGATGAAGGACAAGAGCGAGCCGCAGGACTTAGCTGGGGATTGGGTATGAACTATAGGGAGACTGGACTAAGAGCCGGCATGACAGGACGCTGAGCTGGCAGAGCGTCATCATCATCATCATCAGCAGCAGCAGCAGAAGGCGGAGCAGCGGCTAAGGATGTGACAATGCCTGAGCCCGTTTGACATGAGCATGATATAATAAAAACCGCAAACAAGTAATGCCTACGAACCGGTATCCTGCAGACCCAGAGTCCTTCATTCTAGGTCCAAGTCGCTGAGATAACAACAACGGAGGCAACGGAGGGGCTTGGGGATGACTATTCAAGTGCTGTTGTCAAGAGCTGAATCCTCGCCTAGCCTGTCGTGTCCAGCATGTCCTGTATGGCGATGCTGCACTGGTAAAAAAAAATCACCTAAAGGTGGCTTATACTATAAATTATTCCATACATTTTACAAATATTTATTGATTATATTAAACTGTTAGGAAATATCCTAGAATTCAAAAATCCTGGATAACTGTCCTCCTAAAGACCCTATTTCTAAGCATACCTTTTGTTTCGCCAAGTGTATTTGAGGCGCCTGCGGGCATGCCGTTATCCTTTGGCGTGATTAAGCCACAAGTGCGTGACATTTTAATGCGACATTTATGCCCAGGACAAGAGATTATTATTGAAAATGCGCGACCGGCTCGCGTGACAACAACATCAGGGCGGGCAGGACAATGGCAACAACGCAGCATCAACGAAAACATAAATATAAGTATAAACCGCAGGAGCAACCAAGGATAACAACACAACTTGCTTAACGCCCTCATCCCCACTCTCCCCGCCACAGCTTATTTATTTATCTTCCTCGACTGACACCCGAGTGACAACTTTTGTTCCGGCTTCCTCGTGGAGATTCACAGAAAGACAACTATGTCTATGTCCTGTCAGAGGAGTCTCCTCGTGACATTTCTGAGCCACCTCTGCATCGCCAGTAGTACATCCTAAGCGCAGCAAAATATTTAATTAAAAGCCAAGGCAACCCAGCTGACAAATGTTTCGGGGGATCAGACCGAAGATGAAGCGTTAAGAGCAAGATCTTGAAATTAAATTTCACTATTCACTAGAGTCTTTCCCCTTAAATAAATGTAAGCGCACAGCTCTCAGCTATTAAGTGCAATATGTAATGGATACCTGGGCGCAAGGATAATGCACAGCCCAGGCATTTGCCACACTGAACTCTCTGGCATATTGACGACATCAATACCCGTAATAAGCTTTTTTGAGGAAAACTGGTCTAGAACAAACATAAAGTATATATATATTCGAGTATACGATATCCATATCCTTTCTTTTCCTTGGGTGGTGGGTTGTAATCGATCTATTTGAGTACTTGTTATCGATAATGAGTGTTTTGATGAGCTCTAAGACTTTTGATGGCTGGTAATAATATATCCTAAGCTACTGCAGGGCAGCAGCCTTTATGCTTTGTGTTGAAGGAAATGGCCAGGGATATGTTATGGCTATTTGTGGATAAGGATAATAACATAAATACTACATTTGATATCGAGGCATATAAAGGGTATAATGGATGTAGTAGGTAAATCTACAAGGGTTTGGGTAACTTGGTTTTCGTATTTAGTTTGCTAATGGGTTAGAGGGGTTAAGATATAAATAAATATTAATTTATATTTAATTTAATATAATAATATAATATAATAATAATTACATATCTTTAGAGCTAAATTATTAACCGTTACTCATCTTATTCTTTATATGTTTGCTTAGAATTATTCAGACAGCTTCTACAAATATAATTTTCACAGCGCAACTCGATTCTCCATATTTCCCATTTAAATTTCACTACGTTCAGAGATTTTTGGCTTTGGCAAATGTTTGCAGGACCAACATACATACATATACCCTTACCCCCCTCCCACCTGCCCCACTGCCTGCAGCTGTTGAAATTAAAATCGAAATCATAACATGTCAACACACATTTTGTAATGCAGCAAAACTAACCAAAAATAATAAAAGTCGGGGCTGGCCAAAGAGTTGCCTCTGCAAACAGGGAAATAATGCAAATGCAAATGAATCCGCGACAGCAGGATGTCGGAGGATGTCGGGTGAGGTTGGAACAGGTGTTCCACTTGCTTCTTTATGCCAATAAAAGCGGTTTGCATATGTGTATGTGTGTCTGTGCGACTGGTATAAAAATGTAATAACAAAGTTGGAGGCGACGTCGCTGCTTTTTATGGCCTTTTTTGTCATTGCGTTCTATACATGTGTGTGTGTGTGTGTGTGTAAAGTAAAAAACTATTTGCCCAGGCTCCCAGGCATTCCCTCTGATCCTTCCAGTAACCATTCCCAGTGCGTCCCTGACTTCGGTGTTTACCAGCAAAATGCCAATGGTCACAATGTCCCTGAAGGCAGGGTGAGTCAATGGGCCAGTAATTTTTCAACAATTTTGTATTTTTTATAAAATTTTTAAAATTATTTTTGAGGCATTTTTTATATATTTTTTTAAAAATATTTTCTGTTTATATTTTATATATTTTTAAAATGAATTTTTATATATATATATTTTTTTTTGTACATCTGCCCATGATCTAAGCCTGTTTCTCTTTACTAACCCTTGCTGACTAGTGCTCAGCTGCTCCAGAGGCCCCTTGAGCACTTTTGATCTCTTAATATTTGTTTAAAAAATCTACTAGTTGAATAATAATTCGAACTGAAACACCCTTCTATAACAGGATCGGGGTACGTTCTCATATCAATGTGCCAAAAGTAACCGCACGACGCTGAAGAAGTATGCTATGAAACCGGCTGCCTCCTGCCGAGAGGGACTTCAGCTGCAGGACAACGACAACGACGACCAGTAGGTCGTGGATCCCAATACCAACCGAGTCCGAGTCGGCGGGGTCCCTGTGCATTGGCATTGGCGGGCGCCCGTCAGCGTTTTCATTTCAAATTCAAATGCTGTTTGCATAAAAAACGAGCCAAGACATCGAAAGGCATCACGTGCCCAGGATCCACATTCCCTGAGAAAAAAAGAAAAAAACTGTTGGAATTCGGAAGGATGCCCCCTGCAGCTCCCTCTCCCCTTCAAAGGAGTGACAATAGCAACAAACGGATGGCTGACGAGATGGATGAACATTGGACAGTGGCTGCACTGGGAAAAAAACTAGAGAAATCTGTGAATATTCTCAATTTATTTCCAAAAACCAAATATATAAAATAAAAGCTTAAATAATTTGATCTAAAAATTTAAAAAATATTTAAAAAATACTACATATTTATATTTATATATATATATTTTTTAAATACTTTATTAAATTTGTTATATTTTTCTAGTGTCCTTCCCCTGCTGAACTAGGGGGAGGGCCATCGCTGGTCTCCTCTATTTCCCCACCCAAAAGTGGCGAAATGAAATTGCCAAAGACGTTTCTCTGGGAGTAAGTGAGATAGGAATAGCAGCAGAGCGAGATGGGAATAAGCAGAGGAGAGGTGGTGAGGCAAATAGCCAGCTGGCAGTCGCTTTGCATGTGCATGTCCGTGTTGGGTTAAGTGGATTGTTTACTTTGATTACAAAAATATGGCAAATGTTTGCACGTTTGATGTCTCACTATATATGTGTGTGTGTGTGTGTGGCGCAGACAGGAGATGAAAGAGAGAGATGCCAGAGAGTGAGAAAGAGGATAGATATAGTCTGAAGAAATCAAAATAAAGAAAATATAATATTGGTTTATTAAATCAAAATTCAAAAACTCTAAAAAAAGAACAAAGTTTTAATGTTAATGCAAAAATTCCAAGCATTCAATTTGAATAAAGTAACCATGTTTTGAGAAAGAAATTTTTGTTCTACCATGATTTATCGATGATTATTTTCGTTTATTCATAAATATATCATATTCGGATGTTTTTATTATTTTAAAAAATTTTAAGTATACAAGTTTGGAGATTTAAAATATTAGTTTCCTCACGCCGTCATCTCCGATGCAAAACACACACACACACAGAGAAAGCCAGCTGAGGGGGCAGAAGTACAGTCAGACAGCGAGACAAATGGCGTTTGCCTTGGCGCTCTTGTGAAATCCAAAGGCTAACAATATTGCAAAAAATCTGCAGTTATACATTTGACTTTTGGTTTATTTTTATGATTTTCACAGTTTGCAGTTGACCGACCCACCAGGCTTTTCACATTCTGACCATCATCCCTCCCCCCCAGGTTGATGGTTGGCTGATTTTTTATTGTGTCGCCGCGAAAGGCTGAAAAAGCGCCCTGGCAAATGGAAAACCAGATGGAAAGGAACTGTTGATTGTCGGGTATAAGAATATATAGATATATATACATATATATAGATTTCTGTAAGTACATATATATGGAAAAGGAGTGTACATCAAGGAGATAGATCAAGAATACTTATGTATGTATATCCCCAGATAAAACATCGGTTAAGTGAGATTAAAAAAATAAATTCACATGATTTATAAACAGAAATCTTTTTAATATTTTTACGAATACTTCATTTTGTTCCATTTTTTAGCAGTCAGCCTCAGTCCTGTCTCTTCCTGTTAAATCCTGCTGTTCTTCTTTCGCAGATTTTCCCTGGTGATCCTTGGCCAGGCTAACAGGTACTGGCCAAAGTTGTGATCAGGAACAAGATGAAGTTGTTAAGGATAATCGATATCCTCCTTGAGAACCTTGTAGATAAAGACCAGCTTCCTAAAGGGGATCTTAGCATCCTCCGCAGGATTCTTTTTCCGATGCAGGACCTAGTCAAGTCCTTAGTTTTTCTTGTTTAATAAAATGCCCAATACCCAAGTAAGTTTTATTACTCCACTGAGAGGAAGGGGAGTGTAGGTTTGCTGGGCCTGATGCCCCAAGTAAACACCCCTGTGACCCCATGTGGGTCACTTCAACGAAAGGTCAAAGGCATTTATCAAACCGGCAGGCTCTCTAGCCGACCTGTTTGCTTTGGCCAAAACTAATTTTGACAGGCGCAAAAAAAAAAAGAATGAAAAAGAGTGAAAAAGCCGCCGCTTTTATTGGAAAAATTTGTATTTGTATTTGCTTTCGACTGGGAGTCCGGGGGAAATCGTTGGGAAATCGCAGCGGGTCACGCCCACAATGCCAAATAGTTTTCATTCTTAGCCGCTGGCTGCATTTTATTTTATTAATGGGAATTTGTTTTCACTCCCCCCGAAAAAGGGCGGGCGAGAAGGATGCGTCCAGGATGCGACCAGGATGCCGCCTCGTCGCTATTATGGCAGCCCATTTGTTTGCACGCGAGCATCCGAGAGTCGCGGTTCCGTTGCTCCACAGGGCGTATACGCTATATAATTTTTCTGGCGCTCTTGGCGGTCTCCCTAGCTCCACGTCCAGCAACGACCACATGTCGCTCATGATTAATTGAAAGATTCTCTCAACTTCAACTGTTTTCGGGTTTTCGGGCTTTGCGTTTGCCTTCCTTCCTTCCTTCCCCTTTTATTATTTCCATATAAATTTCTTATTTTTATTTTTCGCTTGTCCGAGGAGCTTGTTGCTTTTGGTGTGTGTTTCGCTTGTCCAAAAGTGTCTTGATTAATGGACTCTAAGCGGGGCGAGATTTAAATAAATTTTCTTGGAATATCAAATGCTACTTTTCCAACGGGCTTTTGACGTCGTAAACAATTAGTTTGTGTGCCTTAAGTATGGATTTTATTTAGGTGCTTTTTATTATTATTATTATATTTATACCCTTGCAGGGTATTATAATTTCAGTCAGAAGTTTGCAACGCAGTGAAGGAGACGTTTCCGACCCTATAAAGTATATATATTCTTGATCAGCATCAACAGCCGAGTCGATCTAGCCATGTCCGTCTGTCCGTCTGTCCGTCTGTCTGTCTGTCCGTCTGTCCGTCTGTCTGTTTCTACGCAAACTAGTCCCTCAGTTTTAAAGCTATCTGAATGAAACTTTGCATATAGTCTTCTATATACTCTCACTGCTATATATGTCGGAACGGGCCGGATCGGACGACTATATCATATAGCTGCCATACAAATGTTCGATAAATATTTAGAAAAAAAATGATAACTTAGCTGTTTTTCAACATATGTGCACTATTTTTTACATATGACCACTTTATATTATTTCTGAATTTTGGTAAAAATTTTATGAAAATCGGTCGACTATATCATATAGCTGCCATAGGAACGATCAGGAAATTAATAGAAAAAAATTATAACTTCGTTGTTTTTCAAACTATTTTTATCTACTCTGAGATAAAAGCTTTTTTTATTAGTTCAGAATTTTGGTATAAATTTTATGAAAATCGGACAACTATATCATATAGCTGCCATATAAACCGATCGGTAGGTGTAGGGAAAATGTAAAACTAGGAATGTAAAACTGTAACTGTCAAACTCTCAACATAATAAGTATAGATAAAATGCAATGAAATAGTATCTGCAAGGGTATACAAACTTCGGCGTGCCGAAGTTAGCTTCCTTTCTTGTTTTAATTAAATATTGATTATATTATATCTTTAAATTTAAAATAAATAACTGAAGGCTAGGAAAATAATTTCCCTGATGATTCCCTGATGATTTTACTTCCACGTAATCCCACATAAGGGGGATCTCCCAAACGTAAAGTCCACTCTCTCCGCTTCTCAATACTTCTCCCCACCTGTGTCCTACTCTCCCTAGCTCTCCCCACCTCTCTTTCCATCCACTTCTACCCATTAGGCTAATGGTTCTGATGTTCCGGAACCGGCTATCAGTTTCGGCAGCCAGCTTGTCTTATCTCAGCCCAAGAAATGGGCCTGCGTCTTCGATAAGGGCTTCCGAATGGCGCACTTTACGACTTCAATGCTTTGGGAATCAGTGGTAGAATGGACGGGGAATACATAGCAGTGGAGCACCCGTCGCCGTCGCCAGCTTATCCGGGCTATAGCTCCAGCGGCACCGTCTCCGTGGCCGGGCGACATCAGCGTTCCGTTGGCCAGCGAATGCCCGCCGGGCATTTAATACTCCTGGCCCTTCTGCTGGGCACCCTGGTGATCCTCCTCTATGCCTACTGGGACGTAATGATGATAACGGCTGGCGCCTCTCCCATGGCCAGACGCCACGAGGCCAACGCCAACGAGACTCTGTCAGAGAAGCTGCATCGAGAGGTGCGGATCCTCTGTTGGGTGCTAACCACACCCAAGTACCACAAGACCAGGGCTGCCCATGTACTGCGCACTTGGGGCAGACGCTGCAATAAGATTCTATTCATGACCTCGCAGCCGGATGAGGAACTGCCCACCATGGTGCTGACCAAGCCGGATCGATACGAGGTGCTGTGGGGCAAGACCAAGGAGGCGTTTACGCGCCTCTATGAGGAGATGCGCGACGAGGCCGATTGGTTCATGAAGGCCGACGACGACACGTAGGTACTCCAAGGTGAAAATGGAAAAGATACGGGGAAAAATCTATATTTCATAGATGAATATTAGGTTGTTTTCACATCGAATTTTATGGGTTAGATAAGCTGAGAGATAATCGTAATAGAAATCTGGTTCGAAGCATTTTAATTTATTAATTATAAGAATTTGCAAAGTTCTTCTTTCCTTGGTCTAAACATTGACACCTTCAAATATCAGCAATAACCCTTATCATTTTCCTGTTCGCAGTTTTATGTAGCAACATGAAAGGTTACTTTCAGTTGGAACTAATTAAGGCATAGTGAAGTTAGCTTCTTGTAAATTAAATTACAAAAAAATATATATATATTCAAGAAAATATAATAAATACTTAGTATATTATATTATAATTATTATAAATTTACATAATATTCTTAAATTACAATTATTATATACATAATTATATATCTCTCACTACTTATAGCTTTGTGTTTCTGGAAAACCTCAGATATATGCTGTACCCTTATTCACCCAACACATCGATTTATTTTGGTTTCAATTACAAGATGATAGGAACGCACCCAAAGAATTCGGTGAGTGAAATTTATAAGAAAAAATAATATACTATTTTTTTATTCATAAAAATTAATATTTAAATAAAATGAATTTAAAAATATGAATTTATTAATAAAATGAATTCTAATAAAATGATTTTTCTTTAATAAAATGAATATCAATAAAATGAATTTATTAATAAATTGAATATCAATAAAATTAATTTAAAAAAAATGAATTTAAATAAAATGAATTCAAATAAAATGAATTTAAATAAAATGAATTTAAATAAAATGAATTTAAATAAAATGAATTTAAATAAAATGAATTTAAATAAAATTAATTTAAATAAAATGAATTTAAATAAAATGAATTAAATAAAATGAAATTAAATAAAAAACATTTATTAATAAAATTAATTTAAATAAAATTATTTTATACAAAGTGAATTTATTAATATTTATAACAACTTCCCCTTCCCTTCCCCAGTCCTACATGTCCGGTGGCAGTGGCTATGTCTTGAGTCGCGAGGCATTGAAAACCTTTGCCGAGGGCCTAAACGATACCACCAAATGCCGCCAGGAGGACGACCATGCCGAGGACGTAGAGATGGGCAAATGTCTGTTCAATCTGGACGTCAAGGCCGGTGACTCGCGGGATGAACAGCTTAGAAATCGCTTCTATCCCACTGCCCCCTTTGGAGCCCTGCTCTCGGGCAATGTGGGCATGGACTTTTGGCTCTACAAATATGCCTACTACAATGCCCGAACGGTGAGAGAGCGAGTCCTTTTGGTCCTTAATTTACATAATTAATCGAACAAAAAACATTATAATTTTTTTCGCTTAGTGCATGGACTGCCTGTCGGAGTACCCGGTGGCCTTTCACTACGTGAACAGCCAGCAGATGTACGTGTACGAGTACTTTAACTACCAGTTTCAGCTGGCAGGCAGGCAGCAGGTGGCCGAACGGCTGCCAGCCAAGATCCGGGAGCAGGACCTGGTCATTCCCGAGAGCGACAACTCGGTGTCCTAGGAGGGAGTCCCCATTTGCCAGCTTCCCCCACCAACCACAACAATCTCTGCTTTACTCTATATATATATTTTTTTTTTTTCGTGTGTTTATTTATCATATAGTTAATATATTATGGTTATAAGGCGAACGTGCCAAGACTACGGCGTTGCCAACTAAGCTTTTTTCCCGCCTCAAATCATTCTCAGCCTTATTCATAGTTGAATTTTGTGAGTTTTTATTTTGAAATCTATTTTTTATATGGATTTCTTAGCTCTCGAGATTCTTTGATTTTTAATAACAAATAAATAATTTTATAGATTTTCAAGTTAAAATTTAAAACAATTCCCAGCTTTATTTTTACAGCCAAAATTTGGCAACACAGCAGGTCTACCCAGCTGCTGTCCTGTTGCGAGTTTTCCTTGTACACGTCCCAGGCCATGTATTCATTATTGAGCAGCTTGTGGCGCAGACACAACAGGGGATCAGAAGAGTGGCACCATGTTTTTGAGCAGTGCATTTGTCACAATTTAAGAAAATAGAAACTAAATATAAAACATAAAGACTAAAGTATAAACTTGTCCAACTTTAATTCCCAAAAATTTTAAATCAAATTAAAACAGCACTCAAAAAAAAAAAAAATAAATAAATAAATAAACGTAAAAAATAAATTAATCTAAAAATTAACAACACAAAAAATAGATGCAGATGCTTTTAATTCCAGCTATGGACTACATGTCAAAGGGAACTCAGTTGTCCTTTATATACGCTTCAGAACAGAGTTGCAAAGCAATCGATAGTGCCGATATTCGATATTTCCAATGTATCGCACTTTCAAATTTTTACTAAAGACACTTGTCGATATTTTACAATCGAATTTATAGTTGTTAATATTAAAATAATTAATACTAAATTAATAGGTAGGGTTTACTAGCGGAATTTAGTTCCAGCTAAAGCCAATAATCGATATTATATCGATTTTAGTAAATAAGGGATCATCTCTGTTTTTCTCAGATTACAGAAACGTCCTTACGCATCTCATAATAGCTCCTGCTGCCATATAGCTTTATATTCCTTAGTGGACCACCATTGGGATTATGCCATGGCTTATCCCCGAACCCGAAAATCCAAAGCACTTAACTCTCATTTTCGATGGTCGCTAATTAAGGTCACTGCCCTCTTTCCCTACTTTGGCTTGAATGGACTTTTCTAGGCTAATTAGGAAAATTCCCAGTCGCATCAAATGCGAGTGGCATACGAAATACGAATTTCCCAGCGAGAAAAATGGAAAAACACTTGCCTCTAATGTGTTGTGTGTGGGTGTGGGTGTGGGTTTGTGGGTGTGGGTGTGGGTGACCAAGGCTTTCGGCATTGTTTCGCCCAAACGAGAACCCGGACAATTTCCGCTCGTAAAAGTGGTCCTCCGTCTGGCTCCTGGCCACTGTAATTAATACCAAAATAATTGTATTTGGATAACACAAACGTAATCAAGATTAATTGAGTAACAGCAGGTAGTTTGCATAATTAGAGCGCAGACAGTGGACTCCCCGCCGCTGTCCTAGCTGTCCTCGCTGCCTGCGTCCTCTCTTCCCACCCACCCGAAAAACATAATTTGCAATTTCAACTGTCTGCCGTAGGTCCCTCCACTTTCCACCTTCCATGCCTTTCCCAGACTGTCTGGCAGAATCGGGTCCCGTCCTGTATCCAGGACATCCTCTGGCAACGCTCAGCGGTTTCTCTTTGAAATTAAATGCCTTTTCGCCCGCAAATTGTGCCGAGCAGCTTAAAAATTTTGTATGGAAATACCAATTAATTGTTGCTCTACAAAAAGGATATATGTATCTTTGGGATTCCAGGATAACAAGTACATCCTTTTTGTCTAAGAAAGCACCTTCTGCCTTTATTTATTAATCATTAATAATCCCGTTTAAAGTTCATAATTGGCTACTTGGCTCTCAAGAGTTTTTCCAAAAGTAAATTGAACCGAACGAAGTAATGCTAGTACCACTGTGTGTGTACGCTAGTGTATGTGCCAGTGTACGTGCTAGTATGTGTGCTAGTATGTGTGCCAGTGTGTGTCCTGGTGTTTGTGATGGGGACACACAAATCATTTTCAGTTTGTACAATTTCTATGTCAACTCGTGTTGGCTTTTCTTTTTTTTGTGTTCTTATTTTTATGTTGTCCTCACTTTTGGGGCACACCCACCGCCCACAATGCCAGCTCGTAGTACCACTTTTGTTTAGCCAGGATCTCCTATAACCCCCACACACACACAACACACACACACACACACACACACACACACACACACACACACACACAATCGTTGTTGCTCGACTGCACTTCCGGCCTTTTGGGCTGCACCGTCATTGACTGTTCAACCATGCAGATGCATACAAGCACACACACGCCCACACACACACACACAGGGTCACACCCACACATACACCCTCGCTCACTCACATTAGCACAAGCCTTGTATATGTATATGTAACTCACACAGTAACAGGTTCGCCGGCATTTCCGGGCTTTATGCCAGGCTATGGACTCTGCCAACGGCTGAAAAGCCTGCCTGACAGTGGAAAAATCAAGGAAAATACATAATGATCATTCAGGAAAATCTTAAAAAAAGGCAATACAAATTTAAGTAAATATAAATAAAATAATTGATTAAAAAAAATTATTTTATTTCGTTTTTATTTGGAAAAGTTGTGTTCTAAGAGAAGTTCAGTCCTGGATTTCTGTTTATTTAACTTGAAGAGTGATATGTTTTATTTTTATTTTTATACAAATAAATTTTATATTTTAAATATACAGTGGTGCTCATAGACTTAAGCCACAAGACTTCAACCAAGAATTTTAACGAAAATTAAGAAAAGTTTTTATTCCACAGCTCCAATTATTTGTGTCACATTAGTTCTATATATCAGTGTTCTAATAAAAGAATAACCAAGTTATAAAAATATATATTCAACGAAAAATTAAAAAAATCTGAGACCAACCCCAAAATGTCCTGCTCACATACTTAAGCCACCTGGAAGAAAATGATCCAAAAAGTTAAAATTTGCCCAATATTCCTTATAATTTTAATAAATTTAGTTTAATATTAAGTGGGATGACCTTTCTGATTAAGAACAGCGGAGCAACACTTTGGCATTAAGCCCACAAGACGTGCGCACTGTTGAGGGGTGATTTTCTTCAACTCTTCCTGCAAAATATGCCAAAATCGTTTTTTTTTTGCTGTTTTTTTGGCCAACGACTTGTTTAAGAATACCCCACAAGTTCTCTATAGGGTTCAAGTCGGGGATCTGCGGTAGCCATTGCAAAACATTGATTGTCTCTTGGCTAAGCCACGACTTGACTATCTTGCTGGTGTGTTTCGGGTCGTTGTCCTGTTGAAATATCCAGGCAAGTGGCAAATTATCGGCATATTCTCCAGATAAATTGTTAATAAGGATGTCCCTGTACATTTCGCCGTTCATAATGCCTTCTATCTTCTTTTTGGAGACCTACGCCCGATGCGGTGAAACAGCCCCAGACCATAATCGAAGAGCCACCATGTTTAACGATCTTTTTCGTGTATGTTTGATTGTTTGGAGCGACGAATCCAAGTTTAATGTCTTTGGGAGTGATGGTAAACCATATGTACAACGTCCTCCCAACAAACAATTGTACCCCAAATACACGAGAAAGACCGTTAAACATGGTGGCTCTTCGATTATGGTCTGGGGCTGTTTCACCGCATCGGGCGTAGGTCTCCAAAAGAAGATAGAAGGCATTATGAACGGCGAAATGTACAGGGACATCCTTATTAACAATTTATCTGGAGAATATGCCGATAATTTGCCACTTGCCTGGATATTTCAACAGGACAACGACCCGAAACACACCAGCAAGATAGTCAAGTCGTGGCTTAGCCAAGAGACAATCAATGTTTTGCAATGGCTACCGCAGATCCCCGACTTGAACCCTATAGAGAACTTGTGGAGTATTCTTAAACAAGTCGTTGGCCAAAAAAAAACAAAAAAAAAAACGATTTTGGCATATTTTGCAGGAAGAGTTGAAGAAAATCACCCCTCAACAGTGCACGTCTTGTGGGCTTAATGCCAAAGTGTTGCTCCGCTGTTCTTAATCAGAAAGGTCATCCCACTTAATATTAAACTAAATTTATTAAAATTATAAGGAATATTGGGCAAATTTTAACTTTTTGGATCATTTTCTTCCAGGTGGCTTAAGTATGTGAGCAGGACATTTTGGGGTTGGTCTCAGATTTTTTTTAATTTTTCGTTGAATATATATTTTTATAACTTGGTTATTCTTTCATTAGAACACTGATATATAGAACTAATGTGACACAAATAATTGGAGCTGTGGAATAAAAACTTTTCTTAATTTTCGTTAAAATTCTTGGATGAAGTCTTGTGGCTTAAGTCTATGAGCACCACTGTACATATATTTTTTTTATATATTTATATATCCAATATATTTAATATAATACATTTTTTTCTTATATAACTTTGCATTGCCTTAAATTAAAAGGCTTAAAAATAGGTCCCTCGTTTTCCCTGAATCACTGTAACTAACATGCCCTGTTGCCTTCGTGTTTGCCCTTTTCCCTGATTTTTCCCTGGGTTTTCCCTGTTCTTTTTTTTTTTTTATTATTATTTTTCGGCTGATGATGGGGTGAGAGGTGAGGGGGATCTGTCAGCTTGTGCGGCTTGAAGCCATTGAAAAGTTCTCAGTTGCAACTGCAAATTATGTTGCCTGGTGTTGTTGATTGTTGCTACTGTTGGTGTTGTCGTTGTCGTTGTAGTTGCCGTTGTAGTTGCTGCTGACAGTGCCTGATAATGGCATACAATGTTTATTTACTTGCTTTAACATTTTTGCTCCTGCTGTTCATTTTACTTTATTTTCCCTGCCTTGCACACATGCAGCGCGCTGACAATGAGACACTTGAGCATTTGGCGCCTGATTGCATGCCACACTCTTGTTGCAGTGCAGTGCACTGTGGGAAAAAATGGGTTTTAAAAGAAGGTATATATATATAAATATATAAAAATATATTAAAAAATATTTAAATATATTTAAAAATATTTAAAAATATTTAAAAATATTTAAAAATATTTAAAAATATTTAAAAATATTTAAAAATATTTAAAAATA